ACTAACAAATTAGAACACAAGGTGGGGGCGAGGGGCAAGGAAGAGATAAGGAAGGAGGAAATAGCTTATTGTAAGTCAATAAGTGGCTAATCTTGAATTACTATGACTATCAATAGGTGGGGAGGCTGTCTTTGTAATGTGCAAAGTAAGTATGTAGAAAGTGCAGGTTTAAGTCCTTGCTCTGGTTGAGTCTGAATCTGGGTCTCCCATTTCCAACATATGTGGTTTACTTAATGGGCTACTGGACTGAAAGTGAACAATCTATTAAGATCAACATACTGCACTGACATCTCTAACTTAGTCTCATCTCAAGACAAATATCCACACCGACTAACACCTTACAAGACTTTTGTTCCACCAGACAAGAAATCTACTATACACACTTCTATTCCCTACAACAAAGAAAAGACAAACTTTCTAAACTGCTCCACACCACAGGCTACAACAGCAACTACATCAACCCACCGGCTAATATTGTTAGCCTCTCCAGATACAAACTCAACCCAGCAGAAAAGTCTGTCTTATCCCGGGGTCTCTCTGTCCCACCTCCCCCACAAACTGGATACAATTTTGTGGTGATCTTGAGGCTTTTTTTCGCCGCCTCCGCCTCCGAGAATATTTCCAAACCACCAATGAACATCAGTCTGACCTACCAGATCCCCCCTATCAACACCAAAGGAAAAATAATTCTATATGGACTCCCCCTGACAGTCGGAATTACAATCTGGATTTCTATATACAAAGCTTCCACAACAACACACAGACTGACATTATTCACAAACGACAACAAGCAACACACAATCTCAGCCACGCTGGACACTATGCAATCCAGAGTCTCAAAAACAACCTGGACATTATAATCAAACCAGCTGACAAAGGGGGTGCAGTGGTCATTAGGAATAAGGCCAACTATAACCAAGAGGCAACCAGACAACTCTCCAACACATTTTACAAACCTATCTCCTCTGATCACATCTTGGAATACCAAAAGAAACTACACTGTCTCCTTAAAAGCCTCCCCACAGCTACTCGGGAACAAATCCACACAGAAACACCTTCTGACCCCCGACCAGGATTGTTCTATCTACTTCCCAAGATCCATAAACCTGGGCACCCCGGACGTCCCATCATCTCTGGTATTGGCACGCTCACTACTGGTCTATCCAGCTATGTAGACTCTCTTCTCAAACCCTACGCAACCAACACCGCCAGCTATCTCCGAGATACTACTGACTTCCTAAGGAAACTATAAAACATCGATAACCTCCCCAATAACACCATCCTCGCCACCATGGACGTAGAAGCTCTATACACCAACATCCCACATGAAGACGGATTACAAGCAATTAGAAACACTATCCCAGAGGACACCACTGCCAATCTGACAGCAGACCTATGTAACTTTGTTCTCTCCCACAATTATTTCCAGTTTGAGAACAACTTATACCTCCAGATCAGTGGCACAGCCATGGATACACGCATGGCCCCACAGTACGTTAACATCTTTATGGCTGACTTAGAACATTTCCTCAGCTCTTGTCCCCTTTTACCCCTTCTCTACTTACGCTACATCAATGACATCTTTATGATCTGGACGCATGGCCAAGAAACACTGGAGACATTCCACAGAGATTTTAACAACCTACACCCTACCATGAGTCTAGGCCTGGACAATTCTACACGAGAGATCCATTTCCTGGACACCACAATACAAATCACCAATGGAAAATTAGACACCACTCTGTACAGAAAACCCACCAACTCATACAATTACCTACATGCCTCCAGCTCCCATCCAGAACACACCATACGATCCATCGTCTATAGCCAAGCCCTTCGATACAACCGCATCTAGTGACAGAGACCAGAAGCTTCAGGATCTCTACCAAGCATTTATAAATCTCAACTACCCACCCAGAGAAACAAAAAAGCAAATTGAAAGAGCCAGACGAATACCTAGAAACCATCTACTTCAAGACAGACCCAAGAAAACCAACAATAGAACACCACTTGTCATCACCTACAACCCCCAACTTAAACCTGTCCAACACATTATCAATAAACTACAGCCTATATTGGAACAGGATACCATACTCAAAGAGCCTCTGGGAGACAGACCCATAGTCTCCTACAGACAACCACCTAACCTCAAGATCATTCTTACCAACCACCACAGGACATACCACACTAATACCAACCCTGGTACCTTCCCTTGCAACAAACCCCGTTGCCAGCTTTGTCCACATATTCATTCTGCTGATACCATTATTGGACCTAACCAAGTGAGTTATAAGATCAAGAACACATATTCCTGCGCATCCAGAAATATAATCTACGCTATCATGTGCCGAAAGTGTCCGTCTGCTATGTACATTGGACAAACATCTCAGACACTTCGCCAAAGGATTAATGCCCACAAAACAGATATCAGACAAGATCACAAAGAGAAAACAGTTTCTTGCCACTTTAACCAGAAAGGACACTCTCTAAATGACTTAGCCACCTGCATTCTGCTACAAAGACCTTTTACATCTGCACTTGAAAGGGAATCCTCTGAACTGTCATTCATGTTAAAATTCGACACTTACCAACAAGGACTTAACAAGTCTTTGAACTTTCTCACCCATTACCAAGACAGTTTCCCCAATTATCACCTGTAATACCATTAACTCACAAACATCCCACTCTCCCTACCTTTAATATCAGCAATTCACAGACACTTACCTTCCTTCCTCCCCCTTCCCACCCCCCCGCATCCCCCTTCTGTTCTGCAATGTGATTTGTTGTACATTGGACAAACGTCTCAGACACTTCGCCAAAGAATCAATGCTCACAAAACCGATATTAGACAGGATCACAAAGAAAAAACAGTTTCTTGCCATTTCAACCAGAAAGGGCATTGTCTCAATGACTTGATTACCTGCATCCTGCTTCAAAGACCTTTTCACACCAGACTTGAAAGAGAATCTTCTGAACTGTCATTCATGCTTAAATTTGACCCTTTACACCTCGGTCTAAACAAAGACATTAATTATCTTACCCATTACAAAGATAGCTTCCCCAATTATCACCTCTAATATAATTAGCTTACAGACATTTACCTCCCCCCCATTCCTCTTCTGTTCTGAAATTTGATTTGTCCTTTTCATATGTGTTCATTTTTTTGATTGTATCCTTTGGTATATATGGTTGTGCCAATTTTCTTCCACTATTAGATCTGAGGAAGTGGGTCTGGCCCACAAAAGCTCATCACCTAATAAATCATCTTGTTAATCTTTAAAGTGCTACATAGTCCTGTTTTTTGTATGAGTATCTGGGTATACGTTCCTCCCCTGCCCACAACTGGTCTCACCAGCCCTTCTCTGGCATTTGTGTGTGTGTGTGTGATGGGGCAGGGAGGGGGTGAGTAACCACATTCTCTTCCAAGTCTATGATTTTGTACCCAAATCGTTGCTTACTCCAGATTCTGCCTCCTGTGTAACCAGAGCTCAGTTACTCAAGTGCTTGCTGATAACTGTTCCAGTTATAACAGTTCAGAGGCCTAGATGAGATAATGACAAGCACCATGCTGCTTTGGCAACTTTACAGAAGTACAGAGAAAAGGTGTGTCTATACTGCACCAGTAGCTTGAAATAAGCTACACAATTTGAGCTATTTCGAGTCAATTTCGAAATAGCTTATTTCAAAATTTGACACTGTCAACACAGGGCTTATTTTGAGATAAATCGATATTCCAAAACTTATTCCTCGTGGAATGAGGTTTACAGGGGCATTGGGCCAGAAAACCTAAAACCTGGGGGTGTTGCAGCACCCCTCGCTGCACCCTTACTTCTTGGGCCTATGGAACTAGCTTCTGGTCTAAGGTTAAGAGTTCACCTACAACTGTATTCTTCACCGAAGCTGGAGATTGAAGTGACCTTTGTGATCAAATTATTATCTTGCCATTGCAAATTATTATCTTGCCTTTACATTGGTCCTGCCTGTCTCTGGAAAATTATAACGAGTGCATCCAAAAACCAAACACACCCCCAATCCTAAAAGCACTAGCCTGGGAGCTGTGAAAATATCTCATATGTGTGAAGCAGACCCTAGATTTGCAGAGCTGGCTGTTTGTGCGGCTGTGTCATCTTTGTAATCACACAAACACGGAGCCGTAGAGTTCCACATGTGGGTTGCACAGGGAAACTTCAACAGCTGTAGCTGGTGGGTATTTGTTGTTGATGTTAAACATCTTGTGTTACATATTTTATACTTTGCTGCCCTGAGACATTTTTAAAAGGTTGCTTTCATCTCCTCCCTCGCCCCTCCCCAACCAATTCCCTTGTCTCAAATTAGTTAAGAATTTGGTCTCTGTGTTCCTTAGAATACTGTTAACCTCCTGCTTCTCCTCAGAGAAAATTGTGATGTTCATTTTTGGTGGAGCCCCAGGGGCTAACAACTTGTAATATCCCATGCTGGAAGGAGAGGGAGAGTAGTCCAGCAGGGAGAGAGATGGTAGCCAGAAGGCTAGGGTGCTATTCTTGGAGTGGGAAAATTTTACTTCAATTCCCTGCTCCTTCATAGGCTTTCTGTGTGACCATTCTGTGCCTCAGTTTCTCCATTTTGTTTTTTTAAAAGTGAGGATGGTACCTTGAGGGGGTTGTGAGGATAAAAGCATTAAAGGGGTGCTCAGGTACAGAGGCCATGGGTGCCTTATGAGTGCCTTAGAGTACTCCATAGGGGAAGTTCTGATCATTACCTCAATATACTGACACTTCAAAAAAGACTAAACTGGTGGCCTTCACAACAGTATGCTTTATTTTCTAATGCTCTGATAAACACAATCTCTTCCACTTACATCTGATATTTAAACAAGTGGCTTCTTCTCTGGCTAATTTGTCTTGTGTCTTAACAGATTCCCAACCCCACAATTAGCCTTCTAGTCTGCTTGAGCTATAGATGCTCCAGAGGGAACCATAGCATGTAGCCTTACGGAGGGGCGGGAGGAGGGGAAGAAGATTCCCGGCTCTGCTGTTTGCATGTGGTACAGCCCTGGTGATCAGAGCATGAACAGAGCAGGCTGTGTAATTACATGTCTCTAGGAGGGGTATTAGGTCCACAGAGAGCTGAGTCCATTTGGGGAGGAGGAGAAATAGATTTTATTTTTATTTTTTTGGTAAGGTGAAAAGGGTCAGTGCATAACCCAGTTCTCATTCGAATATGATAAAGGTAATTGTTGCTCTCAAGTGAATGCCTGGCGCTTCCTGGTTCTACTCCTCTCGTTCATTCCTCATGTCTGTATTATGCAGATGTCTGCTTTCCAAAAAGAGGAGCAGGTTTTTATGAGAAGAGAGAAGAAAACTGACCCCTTTGGAAGCGGTATGTTGTGATATTTATTAGCATTGTTTCTGCATCACTGCTGCAGGGGGGAAGAAGCAGAGAGTCGGGGATATTGCTGTTTTATTCACAATAAAGATAATGCCAATTAAATCAATTAATCCTACTCAGCCAGGGGAGGGGGGCTGTAGCCTATATTCTAACCTGTCACGTAGGTGTTTGATACGAGTCTTGTGTTCCTGCAGCCTCCTGTAGCTGTGTACATCTAATCTTTAAATATCCTGCAGCTTCCGATATCTCATTCCTCCAGCAGGCTCTCCATTCCATTTCTCTCCTCCCTCTAGTGCAAAATTTGGCCTAGCTTCAGTGTTCTTCCTGGATTGAGGAGGGGTTGTTTTTTCCTCCTCCTCTACCTCTAGAAAATATGCTCTCTGATCCTGATTCTGGATTTCTATTTTTGTAGTTTGCTGTAGGTGCTGCTGGATGATTTGCTGTGACACAGGGCCGAAGACTAACCAAATCCGAGGGAGGATTTGTATATAGGAAGAGAAGGTTATGGCTGTGCAGCGTGCTCCAGAATCTGCTCTTAGCTTGTTGATGGTAAGTGCTTGCTGAAATGTGGAGCTTATTGCGGGTGAGGGGAAGTGCATGGATTCAGAGCAGAAAATCATTGAGACCATGATGACAACATGCTTTTCTTTAACAGGCCCTGGAGAACTTTGAAAATGAGTTCATTTGGAGAATACATAGAAACATTCCTCTGATGGTTGTTTTAAGCATACTGATAATGTTCATATTTTTAAATGCCTATAACACACAGGTATATTTGCATCCTGGTTTATCCCAACCTGTAGAGACTTCCATGTAGTTCCTCTTATGAGAATCTAAAATCTCTGTCTTTTCTTCCCTCTGCTTTCTCCCATTTTTCCCCTTGCTAATTGCAAGACAGCTAAATGCCAAGGAGTCTTTTGCCCCATCAATCCACATACCTATGCCGTTAACAACAAACGGATGTTTATAGATGATGTTATTGTTATTATTTGGTAAACCGATGAATAGTCACTTGACTAGCTAATGAATATGCCAGACCTGATACTGACTGCAACCTGTAGAGAGATATGACTAGTTTATATGAGACATTTACTACATGTTGCGCTACTGACCTACTTTTCAAAGTTCTGCCTATTTATAATGTTTCAAAGAAGATTATTTAGCATAACACGTGGAGGCTGAGTACAGGAAAATAACGAGATCTTGTTGCAATTAAAATAAACCTTTGGTGGCATCAGAGATGGCTATTAAGATGTATTTTTCCCTCTCTCTCTCGCTCTCTCTAAAATAATTCATGTTGCCATTTTTGGTGCGGCAGCATAAGGAGGACTTTTAGTGTAAGAGCTCTGCTGGATTTGTTTGTGTCCAAATGTCTAACATTTCCACAAGAGGCTTTTTACAAGCCAAAAGCAAGTGCAATATATAGAGAGATTGATTTTTGCTTTCTGACCGAGAAAGGGAATGGTCTCCTGGAACAGAACATTTGCAGACATGAATTTATCAAGGGTATGCTGTAGGATAATAGGTCCATAGAGCATCTCAAGTTGTTGACAAAGGTCAAGGTGAGAAGAGCAAATCTGATGTCTGTTGCTTGAAACTCTAAACATGCTATTACATCTTCAGCTGGGTTGTTTTTTATATTGACTAGAGACTGATAGAGACAAGCTTCCCTTTCTTTCTCCCATCCCTCCCTGGCTTTTTAAATGGTCTCTTCCTTTTCCGGGCCTCTTTCCTTTCACAGGTGTACTAAAAGATTCCAGTTTGTAAAGCAGTCAGTCCAAATAGTAGGGCGAGGAATTATTTATTTTATTTTACTTCTGTCTTAATGCTCAGCCTGTATTTTTATGCTTCCTATTTACCCTCCATCTTGTTTTATTTTTTTAACCAGTTCTGTATGTGGAGGTGAAATGCTGCCACTTTGCAAAACTGCCTGAAAAATATGCACCTAAAAACTGTGACTTTCTATGGCCCTCTGCATGGCAAGGCATGCCCACATGGGTATGCATCCTGTATTCTGACCTGCAGTTCTGTTTGCTGCAGTTTATTGTGCAACTGATCTTTGAATATCCTGCAGCTTCTATTAGCTTAATTCTCATGCATACAGATATTTGTTCTCTCATGCACCCATATGTAATGCATCAGCAAAGTTTGTGTAGTAGAGCCCTTTAGTGGCTATTTCACTAGTGCATAACTACCCAATACTGCTACATACCAGCTATTGCAGGTACTTCTTCAGCTAATGCGGTAGGGTAGTATGCCACGGTGGATCTAAAACTCCTGGTTCCAACCCTTCTGGCAATCAGTTTAGTGTTGATACAGGCTAGGACAGGGAATTATGCATTGAAACTCAGTAACAAATGCCCCAAGTCTCTAGGTTCAGATGTCTCTCCGAGGCTTCTATGCATATGGGGGTTGTTTTGGCATTTCCATGGTTTTGAACAGACTGAAGCTTTGCAGCTAAAAAAATTCCACTTTTGCCTCTGCTGGCTTGGTTTGGTTTTCTGGTGTATGATGAGATGTAGCCACCAATCAGAATTCCTCCCCCCTTTGGCCACTCTTTAAAATACATGGTCCAGCAGCCTGCTCTTGGGTCAGTAACAAAAAACTGCATAATTCGTCCAGCTGATATGGAACCTTTTCTCCAAATTCCCTTACGTTACAGGGATTAAAAGATTAAAGGCTTCACCTTTCGGAAGTACCTCTTAATGCTGTGGTGGATTATCTACATCAAAGGGGCCTTTTCAAAACATTTTCAGTACCACACTTTTCCATCGGTAACATGTACCTCCAGGGTTCCATCATCGGTTTTATTTTCAAAACACAATAGCAGTGGGGTTGGGGAGGGGTTCCTTTACTGCTACTTAGCCCTGCATGGTTCTTCTGTTTGGAGCTCTCCAGGCATTTTACATAGGGGAGTGATAAATTCATGGAGGACAGGTACATCAGTGGCTATTAGCCAGGATGAGTAGTGATGGTGTCCCCTAGCTTCTCCTTGTCAGAAGCTGGGAATGGGCAGCAGGAGATGGATCACTTGATGATTCATTCCATCTGGGGCACCTGGCATTGGCCACTGTCAGAAGACAGACAACTGGGCTAGATGGACCTTTGGTCTGACCCAACATGGCCGTTCTTATGTTCTTATTCCTATTTTACAGATTGGGAAATCAAAGCAGTTAATGGCCAAACCCATATTGACAGTAAGTCACTGGCAGATATGGGAATGCAGATGCTCCAAACACTGGACCATGCTGCTTTCCCAAATGCCACTGGCAATTGTACTGGCTAATTACCGTTTGTTGTAGAGCTTATGGCCTGCTAAAGGCTTCCCTGTAGTGGGGTCATACTAGTTCAAAATAGGCATTATTTCTCATGAAATGAGGGTTTGTTATTCCCAAATAAGAAACCTGTTATTTTGAAATAATTTTGAAATAATGGGCTTGCCAATGTGGATGATCATCTTGCTATTTCAGAATAACTTTGTTGTGTAGACATGCTTTGAGACCTTTAAATACCCCTCAGCTGATACAAGACTGGGGTAGCAGGAAAAAAGATTTCTCCAGGGTGGGGGAGTACATACGTCTCTACCTAGGGGAAGTTATATACCTGACTGCCTCTTTAAAGGAAAGATGGTAACCCTGGGCCCAATAACAAGGCCACCACACCCTCAGATAGAGGATATGGAAATGCATTTCCCTTTATTTTGTTTTTTGAATTTCTTTTGTTTGGTAGAGGAGCATACCTTGGCCCTGCCACAAGGCTTTCTTGGACAATAGTGAGAAATAAACCCCAACACATCAAGGCTGTGTCTACACTGGCACCCTTTTCCGGAAAAGGGATGCAGATTAGCCAAGTCAGAATTGCAAATACAGCGGGGATTTAAATTTTCCCCGCTCCATTTGCAGGAACATGGCTGCTGCTTTTTTCCGGCTCGGGGCTTTGCCAGAAAAAAGCACCAGTCTAGACAGGGATCTTTCGGAAAATAAAGCCTTTTCCGAAAGATCCCTTATTCCTCTTAAAATCCCCGCTTCATTTGCAATTGCGGTGTGTCTAATCTGCATCCCTTTTACGGAAAAGGGATGCAGTCTAGACACAGCCAGAGTGTAATCTAGTTAAATCAGTGCAAACCCCTGTGTCTGGATAGTCTTATTTCAGCTTATATTTATTAATTATTATTATTTATTAATTTGTTTATTTGTATTGCACTAATTCTGGGCAGCCTCAGTGGTAGAGCTAGGACATTCCTTGTGCTAGAGAATGTACAAACACAGAACAAAAAGACCTACAGGGGCCGTCTTTTTGTCTACTCTTATATCAAAAGAATCGTCCACGTGAGCTAGAATTACCTTGACTAAATGAATTTAAAAACTGATTCAAGTTCAACTGGTGCAAGTTTCCCATGTAGGCAGAAGTCAGGGAAGATGTCCAATGAAAGGGCTCTTTAATACAGATCCAAAATGCATTTTTTCTGCTGCTGCATTTAATACAAATGGAAATGAATTTAAAAATTTAACTGAATCACTTATTTCTTGGCAGTGGTCAATCATCTTAGAAATTACTTGAGTATGAGCAATGCCTTGCCTTGTAGAAGTGACGTTACCAAGCGCTGCACCAATTACAACACAAGACAAGCAGTGTCATTTTAGCTGAAACTGAGGAAGTCACCTGTAACAGAGCATAAGCAATTTTATCTGTAGGATCACCTGATCACTAGCATTAAGATTGCATCAGCCTCTGTATTCCAGAAGCAGTGAGCATTATAACGGTGTAATAGCATGTGTATCTTCATCCAAGACAAGCCATTGGATTTTCTGTATTAGAATCTTTAGCACTGATGGGAATCTTTGCAATAGCCGTGTGACTATTATGTTCATCTGATCAGTCTGTTGTAATGTTTTAAAGCTGCAGACATGTATTGATTATGGGGGGTTTAATGGCATAGTAAGTTATGTTACCTGGTTGCTGTTGAGACAGCACCAGAGCATTTCATACAATTAGTTCTCAGGGATTTGACCTTTTAGAGTACTGTAGGTTAAAACGCCTTTTAATACGCACTAATTGACTGCAGAGGTTCAGAGTGGGAAGGCATCAACCACAGCTGTCCTCTGCAGTTAAGCCAAAACACTGTTGCTCAGAATGATCTCCTGTCAAGTCAGTCACCTGTTCCAGTGCAGCCACTGGTTCTGCCCTCACTGACCTCAGGATGAGGCTTCTGCTTCTCATCAGCAAGACCATGGTGGGCCCTTCTCCATTTACATCTGAACTTTTGACTCCTGCTTCTTCTCTTGTTATCTTCACTTGCCTCCTACCTAGCTAAAGTAGGCCATGTCTCCACTTGCTGTGCTAAAGATCGATCTTCTGGTGTTTGATTTAGCAGGTCTAGTTAAGACCCGCTAAATCAAATGTTGAGGGCAGCTCTGATTGGTGCCAGTACTCCCTGCAGTCGCAAGGAGTAAGGAAAGCCGACGGGAGCAACAGTGAACATGGTACCAAGCTCGGCTTAAGGTAAGCCGACTACAGCTATGTATTTTATGTCTCTGGAGTTGCGTACC